GAATTTTTCCCTCCGTAGCCATGCGTGTCACAGAGGCAACTAGAATGCCTGGAGCAAGGGGCTAGTAACCCTTTGTATATATACAGTGGACCCCCGGTTTACGATCAGCTCCCAATGCGACCAATTATGTAAGTGTATTTATGTAAGTGCGTTTGTACGTGTATGTTTGGGGGTCTGAAATGGACTAATCTAATTCACAATATTCCTTATGGGAACAAAATTCGTTCAGTACTGGCACCTGAACACACTTCTGGAATGAAATAATATCGTAAGCCGGGGGTTCACTGTATATCGACTGTTAATGTTTGTTTGTGTATGTGTGTGTATATATATATATATATATATATATATATATATATATATTTACATATTTATATTAGATAAAGATACAGTTAATACTTTAGATATTCATTAAAACTCGTAATTTTGTGATTGCAATGTGTGGGAAAAAATTAGAAATAGTTGAAACTGATATATGGGACTGCAATTAATATATAGTATTTTGAAATGAGACAATTTGATATGTAGTGGAAAGTTTGATTATGATACTGACTAAAAATATAATAATGTACAAGTAGCATGCATTGTGACAGCACTAACAGGCTCTTAGATCAACACTCATGTGCTTAAAGGGACACACCCATACACACATAACACATGCAAGTTGCAGTAGATAGAAAAGTACTTAAGGTCCTCTAAGGGAAAGCTACTTCTAGAAAGTATAGAGTTAGAATACCATGGTTCTAACAATAGAGATAACCAGCACTTATGTGAGGGAAAGTTGACATGACGTTTTGCCCAACAAAACATCGTCAATTGCTCTCCAAAGTGTGATTTGTTTTCTATATTTTTGGTTTCAATTTAACTATCAAAACAATGGTATTTCTCCATAAGTTTTTCTATATAGTGTTTTTTCTTCAAATACAACTGAAAAAATTGACTCAAAATTGAATAAGATGAAATACAACTTTTTTTTCAAGTTACAAAATTTTGAAGGAATTTTCAGCTTTTGTAGGAGAATTTTCAACTTCTGTAAAATTTTTAGCTCTTGGGGAGTGGGAGGTATAATCATATTTAATCCAAGGTAGAGAAAACCGCTCACAGTCCTCGCATCAAAATCACCACTATTAAAACCCCTCCAGTGGATGTCAAACAATTTAGCAAAACAGAAACTCATCTATGGTTCCCATAGCTGCTGTTATATCAGTAAGCAGCCCGTCTGTCCCTCCTGTCTATGAGAGACGCTCTCAAGAGTCTGACTTTAGCTCTGCATCAGTAATCAGCCCGTCTGTCCCTCCTGTCTATGAGAGATGCTCTCAAGAGTCTGACTTTAGCTCTGCATCAGTAAGCAGCCCATCTGTCCCTCCTGTCTATGAGAAATGCTCTCAAGAGTCTGACTTTAGCTCTGTGTCAGTAAGCAGCCCGTGTGTCCCTCCTGTCTATGAGAGACGCTCTCAAGAGTCTGACTTTAACTCTGCATCAGTAAGCAGCCCGTCTGTCCCTCCTGTCTATGAGAGACGCTCTCAAGAGTCTGACTTTAACTCTGCATCAGTAAGCAGCCCATCTGTCCCTCCTGTCTATGAGAAATGCTCTCAAGAGTCTGACTTTAGCTCTGTGTCAGTAAACAGCCTGTCTGTCCCTCCTGTCTATGAGAGATGCTCTCAAGAGTCTGACTTTAGCTCTGTGTCAGTAAACAGCCCATCTGTCCCTTCTCTCTATGAGAGACACTCAAGAGTCTGATTTTAGCTCTGCTCAACTAACAAAGATCAGCACATTCGCTCAAGCTCGGCATAGCAAAGAGAAGTCAGAGGGTTAAAATCATGCAAAATACTGACAATACACACCATCAATCATGCACTTAGGGTCAGCAGTAAAGCACTACAAGTCAAACCATGCAATTTCACCCGTGGTCATAGATTTTCACTCAATTTTTGGTTCATGATTGATTACATAATTCAGCAATGAAAATACAACAATGTATGATTTTTTTTTGGATAAAAGCCTTATGCAACTTAAACAAAATGTACATAAAAATTCTCACTCACATAATTTTTATTGTATAGAAAGGATCAGGGGTGATATATGGAAATAAGAAAAAACCAGGAGAAATGATGTAATTCCATTTAAATAGAAAGCACCAGCAACATAATATACAAAAAGTAAGTGTGCATGCCAATTAGCTAATCAATATTATAAGCTCAAAATATATTTTTATATATATTTTTTAATTCCATTGGGAGCAACGTGAGGCGTTTACGTAACTATGATATATTAATTAAGCATTCAAAAGTTATGGATTTTTTTTTTTATTTTGAATATTTCATATATTAAAAAATGTATTAATATTTTTAGCATGTGTTTAAAATGAATTCTTTAATAACAATAGTAATAAAATATTAAAAGCAGTTAACGTAGGCAACTTTCAAAAAAAAAAAAAGTTGAAATTTTTTTTTCATAATAAGTTATATTGAAAATTCTGAATGCATCCAAACTGTGTGCAGACAACATTAGAAGCCCACACGTCGTACATTGTTGGTGCGACGTTTCACACTGTGTACAGCTTTATCAAGTGTACACAGAGCAAAACGTGTTTTTGCCTTAATGTGAACTAACATTTATTTTAGCTTAATAATATTCAACACAAATAGCTATGACAGTTTTGAGGTAGACTGAATGTAGTTTCAAAGTTAAAGGAAGGGAAAAAGCTTTGAAATAGCTTATTGCAAAAATCTAAGATGAATAAAACTAAATTCAACATTTGATTACAAAATTTAAAGTGTTTTATTAGTCAGGAAACAAAAAGCTTTTCCCAGACACGGGTGTTAATCATACAGATTACCTGTTAACAATGTTTACAATTCAAAATTTACAATGTTACTATAACATTTGTCAGGACAATAGTCTTGACACCAGTGTTTATAGTTTTCAACGGCCTGTTTGTCCTTTTAAAAGATAAGGTTAGGAAGTTTTGTCAGGAAAAGAGACTGTTTCCTGACATAAGTCTGGACGTATTTGTCCTCTTTTCTGACGCATCTTACCTAACCTACCTTTTATTACTGCAAAAAAACGGGCGTTGAACGTTTAAGATATGTATCAAAGCTATTGTCTTGATGATAATAGCAATAATCATAAATAAAAATTTGTCTATGTGATTTTATTTCAAAATCAATGTATAGCGACTCCCGCCACTATGTGAAGACCTGGTGTTAATTTGTTAATAAAATTAACGTAAGGAAGATAAGCAAATTAAAATGAAATAACTGAAAAAGCTTTTATCAATAAAAACTAACGTTTAAAACAATAAAAGTGGTTAAATAAGGTATTTGTTGGGTAAAAGGATGTAAATATGGATGAGAATTATCCAGTGATCACGAAACAAAAGCATAAGCAATGGAGATGATGGGGTTAATTTCTTTTTTTAAACTATGGACTCAAGAGACACAATGTCAATCACAAGACAGACAGACAGACAGGAGAGGGACAGCAAAAAGGGACGTCAACAGACAGTAATTATATGACCAATAGATGAGTAGGCTTGGCTGTGAGAATGACAAACCGTGTTAGAGACAAAAGTTAAAATTTTTCCAAGTGAAATATATATATTTTTACAGAGATTTATATATCATGATAACAGTGACTGGAAAATTAAAAAATGAATAGCAAGCAAACAATGAAAAAAAAAAAAAAAGGAATGTTTTGAAACATTCTTCCCTGCAGTCCAGCACTCAAATTACTAAAAGATATGTAGTATAAAAAAATTTACATCGCCTCCTAGGAGAAAAATAAAAAAAGCTATATTCAAATGGCAGTGCAAAAAAGGTTTTTTTTTACAAAAACAACTAAAAATTTAAATTTTTCCCAATTTTATTTACAGAGTTCCCAGAAAAACTCGACCCGGGAAAAAACTGGGGGGGGAAAGGGAAATGTTTTAAAACTAGGTAATATGCAATAAGAAAAATAAAGACTTTTCCTTTTTTCTAAACGTGCCATTGGTTTTTTTTGGTTTTGGTTAATCTTACCTGGGGTGGAAGTTTTTCCGAAAAACCTGAACGCGGGCCGGAGGGGAAACCCGGGGTTTAAAACCCAAACACTTTACCAAACTTTAAAACTACAAGCTAACAAAAACCAGTCCATCTTTTTACCCCGTTGCTTTACCGACCCTTTCAACTCACAAGCAACTCAGAGGGGAAAGTTCTAAAATTTGCCCACCGTTTTAAAACATTTTGAGGATACTCACAGAGGTGGTATTAGTATACAGTGAAAAACCAGACACATTCAACCACATTGGGGATCCCCACAATGTGGGTATTAGTTTTTCGGTGTCAACCAAAACACTTGTAAACTTCTGGGGGCCATTTTTAATTAAACATCAAAAGCTGCATGGATAGTCCTTTTTTACCTATTATTCCCCCACATTTTAGGGTTTTTTCTTTAAAAAAAGGGACTACCCATGATTATTGTTTTTTTTTAAATTAGCTAATTTTAATTAATGCCTGAGAATGTATAATAAATTTCCCCAAATTTTTTTTAAATTTAAATCAGATATTAAAATGATTTTTTTTTTTTTATTTTGGGAAAAAGTGTGTATAAACTAGGTAAAAATTCGAATGCTGTGATACACAAGTTGGGGTTCGATTCGAAAAAGGGGTGGGTTTGGAGAGGTAAAAAACATGAAATTGTACCCTCTGGTATAAGGGAATCCCAACATTTGTAACCCCATAAAATTTCCCTGTAAGCCGTATCTGAAATCCCCCCCCCCCCCCCCCAAAAAAACCCCCAGAGGAGTACTTTAAACCAACTACCTGTAACTAAGGCAAATTTATACGGTTTCTAAGTAAACCCAGAGAGTGGAAGTATGTAGAAAAAAACCCCGCTTTCAAAGCCCCCATTTATGTGTAGGTTTTAAAAATTTAAAGGGGCCCTCTTTTCCTACTACTTGCAAGTAAGGTATTGAGAAACGTACCACAGTGGCGCCCCCTCACGGGAAACTTTTTAAATTGTCATTTTTTCCCTTTCCTTATGTTCATATGAAAATCTCTCATCGGAGTATTTCGCAGGGGTAAACACAAATGAATTGGGGGAGCAATACGATAGCTGCTTCATGCAAGGACTAAAATTCGGGCCAACAAAAGGGGGAAAAAAATTTGTATGATGGCGATACTCCCGGGGAAAATTTACAAAAAAGAGAGATTTGGCGAGACGTGAATTTTTAAAATGAACATGAATTTTTGGCTCTGGGAGGGGGTTTTATAAAAGTTCTGAAGTGTCTTACACGGGGAAACCCTACTTCTTTTAAGCTCTTACAGAGACCCAAAAACGCGCTTTTTTTTAAAAGCCTGTCTATCCCCAAAGGGTTTCTCCCCACACAAGTAAATCCCTCGAACCCTGGTGTTTACAAAGTGGGTGAGGGAAAGACTCGGGAGGAATCATTCCCACGGGTTTTATGCAGCAACATTCTTTTGGGATTTACGCCCACCCCTTTTAACCCCCACAAAAAAACTGAAAGTTTTTGAAGTAAAAGTCCAAACCCTATGTGAGGGACCCAACCCAGCTCAAACAAACACAAAAATTTTTATATGTT